GTGGCAAAAGGGTCTACTCGGGAGAATCATTTCAGGGTAGGTGACCTGCAGAAGCTTGGATCTCTGGTGTGGTAAGAAGGTAACTGCAAGTAGTTTGGGAAGGTGCAGTAGACACAGTTTCGTTGTCCAAGTGCCTCTGGGATTTGATGGGGTCACAGGTGTTCCCAAGCAGACTTTCTTCAGAGTGTGCTTTTATTAATTGCTGGATCTGTGTTGTGTGATTTTGGGGTTCCTGAAAGCAAGGGCAAAGCAAAATCCAGAAAAAGTGTGCAAAACCAATTTTTTGCTTTCCTGTGCAACCATCCCTTTTCTCTTCCAGATGTAAGACTTCTAGAGATGTTGGGTTTTTGTGGTGATTTGTAGAATTTTTTGCAAATTTTCTGAAGCACTGTTTTTACAATGAATTAGTCTATTGAAATCATGAAAACATGTCAATATTTTTATTTTTCTATTTGAAAAAAGAAGAAAAAGAATTCTTAATGGAGCTGAAGCATGTGGTGTTGGGCCATCCTGTAACAGAACATCCTGTTTTGCCATTTTGAATGTTTCTTTTCAGTTTATATTTTAAAAGGAAAAAAATTGAGAAAAGAAATGCAACAAAAAGTTTTGATCAGTCCTGTAAATGAGATTATTTTTATTTTTGTGAAAAACATTTGAGATGAAGCAATTATAAGCTTTTTGGTTTTTCTATCAAATGAAAGCGACCTTCCACCTCATAATTTAGTGAAATGATCTGGCCCAACTGCTTTAAGGCTGGCTTCTTTTCAATCACAGCTGAAGACAAACTTGAACTCATGGCTCCAAAAATTTCAAAAAGCCCTTTCTTTCTCATCATGTTGTACCATCTAGTTTTCAGCCAGAGCCTGACATGCTGGAGTTTGGCTCCATGGGATGACCAGTTTTGGCAGGGACTTGAGAAGTTCTTGCCTACAGCCTCCTCTATTCCTGCCTCCAGGATTATGATTGTTATTCCATCAGGAGTGCTCATACAACTGGTTCTGAAGCTGTACTGTTAAGTGGCTCACTGAAACAATCTAATTTTTAATTTATTATTTTCTTGGAGAGTTTTTTTTCCCAAATTAAATAGATGCCAGTCTGGTTATAGAGGTTGTCTCAGAGTAGGGTCAGTACAATTGAGGAGGCTGTGAACTATGGTGCATGGGAATGACTGGCCAAGGATGGAAGTGTGATGGGGCAGAGAAGTTGCCTTTGACTCTATGACAAATATAAAATTCACTATGAAAATGGAGATTTCAGCTTGTAGCAGATTAATATCTTTTATTATTACATGTTTCAGAACATACCTAGTTTTGCAGCTTATAATACTAAAATTGTATATAACAAAGCTATAACCACTTTTTTTTTTTTATTTTTGTGTCAGGTTTAATGTCTTGTAGGTTGTTTTTTATGTATTTGCTTATGTCTGAATCCAGCCAGTAGCATGGAATTGAGACAGATCAGTTATTAGTTACTCAAAATTTGATCTTACTGCTTTTAATTGCTTTTTAAAATTATTATTACAGGGTCTTTTGCAAAATATTCAGTTAATCTTTGATACTTCAATAGAGGATGTTCTGCGTAAGAAAGGATGCCAGAGAAGCCAGTCAAGTAAGGTTTTTGTTATCTTGTTAATACTGTTCAGTTGAATCTGAAAATTAGAAATATCAGTTGTGAAATATTATCCTAAAACCAGGCAACAGATCCCTTTGAAATGAAAAGGAGCATAAGTTGCTTTTTGGTGGTAGTGGGAACTTTTATGTTTTTATGATGTCATTTCTATTCTCTATCCTATTATTTTAGTTCAGTTATTTAGGTTTAAAA